ATTTTAACTGGTTTACTGTTAACTTGCAAATTTCTGAATCTGAACGAAGCTCCCGGTATATCCTCGGGTGTCAATTTGACATCTTCAATATTTGATACTTGCTCCATCTTGAAACTTTTTCAAGAGTGATTGTTTATATAGTTTATATTTACCGCCAGGTGACATGAAGACCGAAGGGCCCTTAGGCCTCTTTTCCATGCAACTTCCGGTTTTTTCCTGAATCGGCGTATTCTAGACAAAGTTAGAACACTATCAGGAGGATTCATGTACAATTTGCAAAATTAGAGGGAAATTGATAATTTTCATACATAATACCTCTGCTTATATCACCTTGTTACTGTTGTGTGTGTTGTCTAAATGGCTGGTTGGCTGTTAGAATTGTTAACCCAATTTCAATGGAAGGTCTCATGTGCCCCCTGAAAGTATTCCATCATCCTTCAGAGTAGTGAAGTGGTTACAACGGGTTCAATAAAATGGTTTCACATTGTGCATGTGATAAAAGTTGCCAACCAATTTAGTGTAACTTTTGACAGCCCATCGGCATGGATATGTTGCAGTTAATTTTTTATTTCAGTTAATTTTTGTTTTTAATTCATTAGCATACATTACCATACCCAAAAACAATGGAAAAGTAAAAATTAACTGAAATACAAAATTAACTACAACAGTGAGGCCTAAATGGCTGGCTAATGAACTGCAGTAGTTACTATTTCGGGAATTTACATGTAATAAAAAGAGATCCGCAAGACTGAGAATAACTAGTTAGTGGACCGACAATTTTCTTGGAGCGGTATATTGACAAAAAGCAGAATGGCTTTTAAGGGCACAATTAATAGGGTGACACGAGCACGTGCGTACTATCTCTGTAAGATCCAGGGTTTTCCCATACGGAAAGTCGCTCGAATGTGTCAGATTTCTAGAGGAAGCGTGTGGAGAATCAAAAAACAAGGCCTTCTCGGTAACAAAGACTGTAAGGAACACATACGAAGGGGACGACCTGTGAAATTAAGCGCAAGAGACGGGAGGCAGTTGGTGCGAGCCATTCAAGGACTTCGAGAGAAAGAGGGCAATTTTTCGTGTCAAAGAATAATGCAAGAAGCCGGTATTTCTGTCAAAGATGTATCAGTTAGAACAGTGTCCCGCTTTCTGAATTCGCAAGGGTACTATTATCTTCCAGCGCGTAAAAAGGGTGTTCTAACAGTCACAGATATGAAGAAAAGGCTAAAGTTTGCGCGACGAATGAGAAAAGACTATGGAGCCGACGTCTGGACTAAGCGAATCGCTTTCTATCTGGATTGTGTGTCTTATGTGTACAAGAGAAATCCATTGGATCAGGCTTTGGCTTCCAAGGCACGAATATGGCGAAAACGTGGCGAAGGTCTTACAACTGGCTGTTTGGCAAAAGGCAAGAAAGAAGGAACTGGCGGAAGAAATGTGAGACTTATAGTAGCTATATCCTACGATAAGGGTATAATTGCTTGTTATCCATACAGGAAAATGACTGGCCGTTTATTTGCCAATTTCATCGATGAATATTTCCCGGGAATGTTTCTGCAGGCAGATAAGGCGGGAGACAACTTATTTGTACAAGACAATTGTCCATGTCAGAATTCCGTGTTGGCTAAAGCAGCCCTGAGGAGAACCCGTGCAAATTTACTAAAGTTTCCAGCGCGATGTGCTGACGTTCTTTGCCATGAAAATCTTTTCCCTGTGGTTGCTCGTAAACTAGAGAAACAGGCCACTGAACGCCAAATAACGAGGGAGTCGTATAGTGAGTTCGAGGAACGAGTTATTAACACCTTTTATTCCATACCAATAGGGACTATTAATAAGCTTATTTCCTCTATGTCGTCGCGTACTTTAAAGCTTATTGCTGTAAAGGGAGGGCGAATAAAATATTGAATGTTACAAATGTATTAAACCATGTTTTCCTTGCTGTACTAACAGTATAGTTCTAACTGAAAGGGGAAACTTCTTATGTGAGGGACAATAAACTAAACTGTATCACTTGTAAACGCTCTCGACATAATATATTCTTAAGTGAACACAACAGACATGGTACGCGTGTGCTTCAATATGAATAAATATACCAATCATGTGTTCAAGTTGCTCTACTATCCCAAAAACATCAGTTATGTACCATTTTCTTCGAGCCGATGAGAATGTTTTTTTTTTCCTTTTAAAGCGTCAAACACCAAGAAAGTTCTCAAGATCATAGCTATACAAAAGAGCAGGTGTTAAATCGCAAAGTTTCGAGATGTTGTGTTTACACAGTATTTTGGCTTGACACCAAATGGTGACATCGGTTGTCAAACTTATGAGCAAATATACACGGAATGAAATAGTCATACAACCCCAAAAATCTGCCATAAAAGAGGGAAAATCCATAAAACTGATGACTCATCGCAAAAGTCGAGAAAATCTGCCCTGCTAATGCCAAAAACAGGCGGTGCACTAAAGTGTACATGGGTCACCGTACTTTAATTTTTTTTAATTAACAAAATAGCACGTTTCTTTTTAAACCGAAAAACTGTGTCACCATGCTCTAAATGTACATAAACTCTCTTGTGTGTATCAAACAGCGCTGAATACGGGCATTTTCATTTTTGTGTGAAACACACTTGTCTTTGACTTTTTGATTCAATTGTTTTTACTGAACAGGTCATAGTAAAGGCCCGGTAAAGTACGGTGACCCGTGATGGTGACCCGATAAACACGTCACCATCCCTTCACTAGATTTGCGGGAAGATCAGTTTGGCAAAACAGTGGGGGCAGTTAGGAGTAATTCGTTGCTCTTCCTCGGGAATTGGGCTCTGTAGGGCGAAAACCTTCCAACGAACTCTCATCATCTGCGATTCCCTCTCGTCAAGTACTCCGCTGTGCACGAAACTGAGTTCCTCTTTACTAGTATAAAAAATCGGAGTATCACGGGTAAACTCGATGTCCTGAGAGAAGTGCGTTTTCGGAGCAGGAAGATGTACTTTTTGCCCCTTTTTGCCCGTCGTGACAACATTTCAAGACATGAGTTCGGCATACCTCAAAAACTTCCTACATTGCAAATATTTTTCCCATGAAAATCTCGAAACATGGCTTATAATAAAATAAAGACACTATATTTCATGCTCTGATTGTGTTCTACAGTGAAATGTCCTTTTTCCAGTTCGCGAAGCAGTGCTAGACATATGTACATATCCCTCATGATTTCCCGCCAGTACACCCATCGAGTAGTCACATTCCCAAAATTCCTCTAAAACACAGTCGCAGTCAAAATTGTTGGGACGTTTTTGTGTCTTCTCCTCCTCTCAAAGTTGGTGTACACGATTTGCCGACTGAATCGCAATAAACAACATTGGGAGGGAAAAGGGAAGCACGGGAAGGGGAAAAAAGGCGTTTGCGTTAAGTGTCCCAACTATTTTTGTCTGAGACTGCAGATAACATTGTGCATAGGATTATTTGCTACGTGTTACTTTCTTTTTCTGTTCTTGTTGCAGCATCAGTGGTGAACAGTTGTGAGGATTCCTGTGATGTCCAGGCTGCAGATGGAGGTACAAATAATTATTATTCATATAAACTTCGGTGTTGGTCAAATGAAGGTTGATTGACAAGGTTTCTTTGCACTTCCATGTTTTCATTTTTTCTGCTGTCTGACTGTTGGTGAGTGGAGTGGGGGTTTCGTGTCAGTCTTTAGATCCTAGAAGGTCTGATTTGAGCCTTCTAAGACCTGTCACTTAATTCCTCTCTTTAGACAGGAAATTGTTTCTCACTTTATCTCTCTTACTGGTCTGCAGTGATGTACACTGTAATGTTTAGTGGTAGCCTGCGTATCTGGTGGTGAGAGGCAATAGAATAAGGGGAGTGCAAACGAGTGATGAAGCCATGAGGAGAACGGGTCAGAAACACCCAGTCCCTTCATCATTACATGTATAAGTATGCTTGCTTGACAATTAAACTGCCAGCTACATGTATGCAGGCTTATTTACTGGCCATATACTGCTGGGTGAATTGCAGTTGTGGACTACTGTACCACGTTCAACCACAGTGCAAAATTATCTTTCCTTGAAATAATTTTTAACCTTGGGCTTGTTTACAAATGTACATGTATGCTACAGCATACTGCCCTAAAATGCCCCCATCTTTCAAGACAATAAACATGATTGATCTCATTCTTTTTCTGAAGTTGGAAAACAAGTGAATTCGTAATTTATCCAAGGCAGTGGCATGACTCAACCTGTCAAATGTTTAGTAATAACATTGTTCTACTTTTTTTGCCTTGTGTTTCTGTTGTTTTTTTCTCTTCATTTTACTCGTATTTTGACTTTAACAAGCTTTTGTAACTGTTGCTTTTTCGAAACTATTTCCAAGTGCTGTGGATCCCTGATCCAAATGACGTACATGTAATTTTATCATCACTATGAGGACAGAATTGGCTACAATTTGTTAATGCAAGTTGTTCTTGTCCTCCCCTACCCCTAATCAAAGATGTGACATTCCAGTGACAAATTATATTGAGAGCAAATAAAGTTTGTAAGTGCTGTAAGTGTACTAATTTTTTGAGATGTACAACTGTAATACATGAAATGCTATTTTTGGTTAGATTTTTATGCATGTTGGCCGACCCTTTTTCCCCTTTTGTTATGGAGATGTGTATGTACATGTACTACCACAGGTTGTCAACCTTTGAATAAAACGAAGTGTACCATTTGTCGCAGTTGTACAGCAGTCAAAACAATAACGATATGAATTGTATGGGAAAAATTGATGGGTGAACAAAACAGCTTACCTCATGTTAGCAGTACTAATAGACTGATGTTTCTTTACCTCCTCCTCTTGTCATTTTAGTCCAAACCTTCTAAACAGGAGAACAGAATAGAAGTGAAGGATGATGCTTGAGTTTCATTACTCATTACTTTCATTAGTTTATACACTACTTGTAATAATAATTATTACAGTTTGTACAAAGTTTGTCAGTAATTTTTATGCTACTTTTCTTTTAGGATTTG